AGGGATGTTGGCCGACTGCTTGGCCTCCATCTGAGCCAGCCTCCTTTCCAGCTGGGCGATGACCTCGTCCCGGGGGTCCCTGTCGGCCGCGGCGGCACCCGGCTGGTTCCTCAGACGCTCGTTGTGAGCCGCGTTGATCTGGTGACGCACGTCATCCTCGTGCAACTTCCCCTTGCCCTTGTCCGGGCGGGGCTGGTCCGCTGTCCGGGACACAGACCCCAAACTCTCCCTTGGTGAGCCAGTACGAGGATCACCAATCCGTCCCGCCATCCTCTCCGAAACCGGACGACGGCGCGTGTCACCCATCCTATTGAAGGTAGAGGCTTTTCCACGCGCTGGGGTCTGCCCGGGCCGACGAGGGGAAGCAGGGTGGGAGTGGGACGACGCCGTGTCCTGGGCCACAACCCCCTCATTGTTGCCTATCTGGTCGGCCAGTGGTTGGGGATGAGGAGGTGGAGTGACGTTTCCCCCGGTCCTTGGCAAGAGTGCGCTGAGGACGGTGGGGTTCTGAGCTAGGCTGGCGATGATGACCGACAGCGCGGCCTGGACCTGAGGATCTACGGACGGAGAGGCCGCGGCCATAGGCTGGGCCGGGGCGTGGTCCGCTTTCTCAGCTCGTTTCTTTTCTAGGCCGAGGCGGGCGTCGGGGACTCCGCCGTTGAGTTGGTTGCGGAGGTCCGTCGTGAGGTTGAAGGCCTCCTGGAAGAGGTCCCCTCCGCCGACCTGGTCGGCCGTGGCGTCCTCATCGTGCTCCCTGGGCTCTTGGTCCTCAGGGATGACTTTGCTGACGAGGTTGCGGTTTGACTTAGTTCTCCCCATGATCAGTGGTTAGCTGTGCCTGGTAGCGACGAAGGGTGCTAACTTGATTGTTCTAGCTCTCAACGAGAGCACCAAATGATAGAGTATATCTAGAGAGAAGTGAGAGCTAGAGAGAGAAGTACAGTAATATGCTTCAATAGAATGAATTTGTAACCCCCATAACTACTCCCAAGGGGAGTATTTATAGAGAAAATTAGGGTTGGGCTCCCAAGCCTTGGGCTTGGGAGGCCCATTTACAACTGGACCGCTACTGGGCCGAATACAAAGCCTCTAATGGGCTGTACAAATGAGTAAGTATAGAATCCGATTCTGGGAGGTCTTCGTGGCCGACGAGGGCGTGGCCGACGAGGGCACGGCCGACGAGGGCGCGGCCGACGAGGGCACCCGAGTCCCTTAAACTCAGGACCGTAATCTGAGTTGGCCCCTTTTCGGCCGACGGGGGCGTCTTGGCCGACGAGGGCGCCACTCTGTTGTCTTGTGCTCTGTTCTTCCGAGTATGTGGGTCCTGGGGCTCAGACCCATATACTCCATCAATAATAATTTGTTATATTAAATCATTACAAAATACTTCGTACTACGTAAGATGTAACGAAATTTCAGTATGATAGTAATATGCATTTTGTATACTGAAAATTTACGGTACGGTAAAATATGAGATTTTGTCATGAATATTACTAGATAGAAACTCATGGATAAAAATAAAACTAAATGTTTCCAAAAAAAGAGAGTTATATGACTTTTATACTCTCCCAGTTACACTTACCTCATCTGACCAATTACAGTTATCATACCCGACTGGTTACAATTATTTGACCTGATGAATTATAATTACTGAACCCGAACAATTACGATTACTCAGCCCAATCAATTACATTTATCCGATCTGACTAGTTACATTTATTTGAACCTACCAATTACAGTTATCCGGATCAACCGATTACAGATACTCCGACTAGTTACAAACTTATAATCATCCGAAGTTACCGTTATAGTTCCTGAACTGACTAGTTACAATTAAGTTACAATTATTTGATCCGATAGTATCCACTGCCGGAAACCACCACAATCTACCACTATTAGCCTACCACCGCTAGCCACAAACTCTGGCCCCACTCCAACACAAACGCCAACCCCATCACCCTTTTCAGCCTACCCGAGTCCCCTCTCCCGCCCTACCCCAGCCCCACTGCTATTATGCTACCACCATCCTTTACCGCCACTGCCCAACCCTCTACCTAGGGATGGACTCGGTCCCGGTCCTTAATTTTTTTTAAAAATTGTTGGAAAATAAAAAAATGATGTATATTTATTATAAACACTACATTGTCACTTGTATCATATCACATTTGAAAATTATAATTGAGAATACTTTGAAGTTGAAAATTACAATGTATGAAGTATGAACTGAGAAATAATGGCAAAAAAATTACTCCTATAGTTTGAGTGGATATAAATATGAGCACTTTTACTCTTTCCAAAAATATGACTTGGTCATCTGGGTCTTCTCCCTCAGCCCTCGAATGCTCGTAGCTCCAGGAGGGACAAAGCCTTCTCCTTCGCACGACCAGGCTTTCTCTCTCCATCATACAACCCTCATCTAAATATCCCTAACCCACTTCCCAGATCTCTCCTTCATCGATGTTCTGTAGATGAACAATCTGCACCCCAGCCGCACCCCAGATATAATTCGAAGCTCCTCAGATATGCTGCACCACCGCCGCACCCCAAATCCTATACGTCGTCGTTCATTGCCGCTCATGTCCGGGCGATCTTCTCCATCAGGTTCTTCACTCGTTGCCTTCGCCCGTAATAGCCTTCGCGTCGTAGCCGCTCACTGCCTTTAATAGCCTTCGCGTCGCCCTTGAAATTGGGATCTGCAACTTACCGCTCACTGGCAAAACTATGTTTTTTCAAATATACGGCCTCCTTGGTCACATTTTTGTCCTTTTGTAAAAGTGGTCACATTTTTGGAAATTGGTTCTAAATTAGTACGTAATATTCATGTAAAAAGCCCATGAACTAATCGTCGTCGTCGCTTTCGGTGTCGGTTGTCGTTTCCTCCATGAAATGGCGGTCCGGTGCTATGTTTACTTCTTGTGTTCTATGATGGGCCTTCAACCAATCATGGAAGCAAACAAGTGTCTCGAGAGATGAAACGCTCAACCTCGTTCTATAGTCAGTTAAAACGTTACCGGCTTGGCTAAACTCTTGTTCTACGACAATAGTTGAAACCGGCATCGACAACACTTGTTTGGTCATTTTTTATAAAACCGGAAACATCCCTTCGTGGATCTTTCACCATTAGAGAATATCAAAGTCCTCCGCTTCATTAAACTCAACAGGAAACGTTAGATGTAATTCAAGAGAGCTCGTTAATCGAGCTCTGTGCAACGACATTACTTTTTTCAAAAGAGTAGATATTGTTGATTTAAAAAACCTCTTCCTTTAGATGAGGAAGCACTCGGTAATGGGGGTGCATTACAATATTGTGCAAGAAATTGATTAAATAAAGCGTGAAATAGATTACTAACCTCGTTGAATTGGGCTTGAGGATCTATAGGTGTGTCTTCGTACATAGGGAATGGACCGTAAAAAGCAGTATAATACTTCCTTCGTCTCTTAAAACTTTGTCATCTTTCCTTTTTGGGACGGCCCAAAAAACTTTGCCACTTTCCATTTTAATCAATTATTTTGTGGTTTTTGTTATTTCTCTCTCCTCTGCACAAACCTCAACCACACAGTTTTTACTTTATCATTCTCCGTGCCGGTCAACTTTGGCAAGTTTTAAGGGACAAAGGTAGTAGTATTCTAAAAATGTTTGTTAATTGGAAAGTTTGAAATGAGTATCAAGACAGAAAGCAATAGAATAAATAGGCGGAATGTAGGCATAATATTTTAAAAACTTTTCTTTCATGTAATCACAAAAATAATGTACATAAGCAGCTTGAGTAAATTCTTGAAAAGCACCGGCGAGATTAACAACTTCTATAAAAAAAATGGCTGCTAGTTGGTTTATACACATGGGAAAAAGTTTGAGTAGCGTTGTTAAAATAAACTAAAATATTGCAAATCTTTTGCATTGTGTCGATCTCAACCAGTTCTATAATATAATTACAAGTTTCTTTCATGAAATTAGGAAAATAATCTTTAAATCGAAGAAGCACAACAATTAAATTATATGTACTATTCCAACGAATAGAAAGATCTTTAGGAAAAACACAATATCTTACACCTTTCGACTTCAAATAAGCACGTCATTGCATTTTAAGTGGATTAATAGTCCAAATCATTCTAATAGCATCCTTAACCCCCCCCCCCCCCCCCCCCCAAACCCCTCCCCAACGGCTATAATGCCGTTACTAGCCGTTCCAAACGGCTAGTTTGACCCCTGCCCCTGCCCCAACCCCCTAATTAATACTCTCTCCGTCTCTTATAACTTTGCCAACTTTTCTTTTTGGATGTTCCATTAACTTTGTCACTTTCCCTTTTAAGTAAAGAATTTGTAGTTTCAGTTAATTCTCTCCCCTCTGCACAAACCTTAATCACACCGTTTTTACTTTATTAATCCTCGTGCTGGTCAAATTTGACAAAGTTATTAGGGATGAAGGGAGTATTTTTAAAAAAAACTGTTGGGAACGAACTGGGACCGCCCGGTCCGGTCCCCATTTTGGCTTACCCAGGATCGAGGTCAGAAATACCCGGTCGGGTATCCGGTCCAAGACCAGGACCGGAAAATCAGACCCAATCCGGTCCCGCACAGTAGGCTCTACCTATTTGTATAAGGGTATTCCGGTAATCCGGTCTATTCATTAATATTTAATCACTTCTTTGTCTATATCCGAATATGGTCCCATATTTAGAGCTCGTTTGGTGACCTCTTTTTTTGGCTTATCAGGCTTATCGGTCAGGTTTTTCACCAAACATGTAATTTTTGGTTTCGCGCGCTGAATTATGTAATAAGTTGAAAAAGTAAAGTTGAAGTTACTTTTCTGGCTGTATTGGCTGAAGTTACTCTAGAGGATCATTTTAGACATTTTTCATATAATTTTTTATTTTATTTATTAATAACAAATATTTTAAATATAATTTTTTTATGAATCAGCAGAATCAGCCAATATAGAAATTCAGCCAGAATTTCATAAATTTCAGCAGAATCAGCCAATTCAGTCAATTTTAGTGTTAACAAAGGACTCTTAATTAGAGCCATCTGCCCGATTCATCGTTCATCCATTTTCATCCGATTCATCGTTTGTCCCACGTCTGCTCTATCTCTTGCGGTCTCGCCTCTCGACCTGTGTTCTGAGCTTCAGATCTCCGGTAAGCTTTCGAGCCCTTCCTCCATTGTCTACTGCCTCCGTTTTTTTAAATCAGACTCTTCATTTTCCCGATAAAGGCGAAGAAAGCCAGAAGCTGTTAAAATTGGTAGATGTTTTGTCTTATTATTCATTACTGAAATTTGAATTTCGATGGTTTACTAGTTTATTACTCCGTTTATTGAATCTTTGAATGCTACGATTAGTTTTATGTTTCTGATTGTGTCAGAATCTGTTTTTTTACTTCACTCATTTGGGCATCGGCGTATTTGGGACCTGGGATTCGAATTTCTCCTTCACCTAATCTGCGGGTGGAAACGTCCTGGCAGCTAAAAAGTGATATTTGAGGATGGGTAATGCTTCTTCAATGTTAACCCAGTATGACATTGAAGACGTCCAAGACCACTGTAACCATCTCTTTAATCAGCTAGAAATATTATCACTATACCAGAGGTTCTGCCAGCTTGATAGGAGCGCGAAGGGGTTCATATCAGCCGATGAGTTTCTGTCAGTTCCGGAGTTTGCCATGAATCCCCTCTCCCAGAGATTGCTCAAGATGGTAGATGGATTAAACTTCAAGGAATTTGTAGCTTTTTTGTCAGCCTTTAGTGCCAAAGCAAGCATGAGGCAAAAGATTGAACTTATCTTCAAGGTATATGATTCTGATGGAAATGGGAAGGTGTCATTCAATGACATGATTGCGGTTCTTCAGGACTTAAGTGGCGCATACATGTCAGATAAGCAAAGAGAGGATGTTTTGAGCCGTGTTTTGCATGAGGCTGGTTATACAAGGGACTCCTTATTATCTGTGGATGACTTTGTTAAGGTGTTTGATCATCCTGGCTTGAAGATGGAGGTGGAGATCCCAGTTGACTAGCAGCACCAATTCTTGTTATTCTACAACAGTACAACTGCAGAGTCTGCGGACTGCAGTGGAGTTTTGAGTTCATATTGTTCTGCCAAATAGTCGTGTTTTTGTTTTACATTCCCTCCTCCCTTTTGAGAAGTAAAGCCGTAAAGGTGTGCAAAAAGACACACATTATATGAAATTTATTTTGACTAATGGGCTATGTTTCTGCTATTTTGCCTCAATGTCCAAATATAGCTGTTCTGGAAACACAAATATCAATTTATTTTACCTAATCCGCTATGTTTCCAGCTTCCGCTATTTAACCACAATGGTCCATGTCTAAAAAGTTTTTACATCCCATGATTTACAAAGCCTGCGGATTCTATGTCTGGTTGCTACGTTTGGCTCAAATTCTCGCATATTGTATTATGTCATCTTTGAACCATGATTTTATCAATCGAAGTTGAGTTGGCTTTTGAAAAAAAGTAAATCTACAACTCTTTATTTCTGTCAATTCTTAACCTTTTTAATTCTTTCTATATTTCTACACAATATTTTAATTTCTTATTATTTGTTTCTTATATTATTCTTCCTATATTAAAATTTCTTGTATTTTTCATATATATTCTGACCTTTCAATAATTATTGTGTAACAATAATCTAAAATAAAATATTAGGATTCAGCTGTCGAGAACGATTGGGTAGACTGCACTCGGACTTGGATGATCAGTCCGGTATACCCACTACCAGTTTCAATTTGCTTGTCCGGAACTGACCCAGATCCACCCCGAGCAATATTACAAGAGAAAAAATAATTCATTATTAAATACTCCGCCATAATTACAATGAAAAAAACAAATTGTCATCATTTTTTCCTCCAGTTTTCTGGTTTGATTCTACATCGGGTAGCATTGATGTTTCTCGTTCTAACTTCAATGAGATCCTCTCTTAATCGATCAATATGTCAAATATCATCCTTCTAACCCACAACAATAAACTGTGAAAAAGGGTAGAACTAACTATTGACGGAAGATGTTTTTCCCTTTATAAAAATGGCTTGAGTTGTCTTTTGTTAATATATGTTCGCTCTTGCTCTACTTTAGACAGTGTAATGCTGCTGGAGGGTGTTGATATCCAAACCCTTCTGCCTGGCCACTGATTCCACATGCCCCTTCAGAGTGTGAAGCTCCATAAGCCTGCAATTCCAAATTTGGTAATAAGAATGTTAGATGCAACATGTGTATTCCTATAAATGACTAATGATGTTTATTTATTTATTTGTTTGTTTGTTTGTTTTATTTATGAGGTTTCCCTATAATAGTATAATTTTATCAAGAGAAGATTCACTGAAAAAATTTGCCTTCATGGTTACAACAGTCACTACAAAATTTACACACACACACTTACCTAGCAGCCTCAGCGCGTTTCCTTGCTTGTTCAGCAATCTCAGACAATTCCCTATAGCTTTCCTCACTGCATTGGTTAGGGGCTGCAGCAGTCTGCAAACCATGAAGTGTGCGCTGATCCACGGCCCATTTTGCTTCCCTCTCACCCCTTCCGTAATCCTTCTTTGACGTGAAAGCGGTCTATTTTTCCCAGCATTGAAAAGTTGATGAGTCAGTTGAGAAGGATACATATATTATTACTCGTTCGGCAAGTCGGATCATGGATTTATTTTTAAAGAGGCAAAAACATACTTATTTAAAACTATACCTTGTTATCCATCATGGATTTCCAGGCCTTCCCACTCAATGCCAATCGAGTGATGAACTTGAGAATGTCAAGAGGGAAATAGGTGATTATGCTGTAAATCCAGATAGCTCCAGCCCATTCCCAGCCAATACCTTGGATTCTTGCAAAACTCCAGTTTGCGTATACAGCAATAAGTGTAGCCACCTATTCCAAAAAGATGAAATTGAGTAAAAAAAATGTTTAGTCCAAAGAGACAATATTTATTCCAACATTTAATAGCATTTCTCAAGAAGCAAGTCACTCACGAATTGTGCGGCAAAAAAGGCAACAACAAGCAAGACCCCAGGGCGCTCAACAAAGGACCAGCTATGTGACCTCGTCACAAAGATGAGTGCTTGACTGATTATGCTAACTTGGAGATAGACAGCAGCTGTCAACTCATACGGTGAATCCTTGATGGATTTAACCTTGAACACGTCCTGAAGATAAGAAATTGTGTCATGAGCTATGTAGTCATCAAGTGAGGTTAAAGTTAATGTTAGAAAAAGAAAAGAAATTTCTATAAAGAAGAGTAGATGACTAGAACATAACTTTCTTTAAATATATGCCCATGGTTGTTTTTCCCTAAAAATATGACTAATTCACTCCTAAAAGAAGAGTTATTCACTACTATTATTTTCTTGAGATTATATGGGACCTATTGTAAGCACAGAACAAAGATGCTCCTATTTATGCACATGACTCATGTCTTACTCCTAGCAGCAATAATATCGTTAAACAAAATGGAAAAGGAGATTACAGTGAAGAAATCAGTATCAGCAGCGAGGTAGAAGAAAATGACAGTCATAAGAGCTTGGTAGGTCCCCAAAGCGACACCGGTGGCAAATATCTCATTGAGCTTCCAAGAGTCAGGCATAGGAGAAGGCTTTACTCTATCCTTGGAGATGGTCATGATGGTTCCATCATTGAGGATTGCAATGATGAGGACCATGAATGGCGAGAAATCAAACTTCCATATGAGGGCAAGGAGCGTGAACCCCATGACAATGCGTATCGTGATGGAAACTGCATAGATGGTGTAGTTCTTCATCCTCTGGAAGATGGCTCTGCTGGTTAAGACAGCACTCACAATGACACTTAAACCTGGTTGAGTCAACACGATGTCTGATGCGCTTCTTGCAGCATCTGTGGCATCAGCCACTGCAATTCCAATGTCAGCCTTTTTCAGTGCTGGGGCATCATTTACACCATCTCCGGTCATCCCACAGATGTGTTTCATCTCTTGCAACTTCCTCACAATCTCATATTTGTGCTCTATACAAACACACACACACACACACACACATTAGGGTAGAATAGAAAAGCCACAAACCCTTTTCTAGTTAGTTCCAGGGAAGACCAGATCTATGCTTATATAAATTGTTCAATCAAAATATTTTCAACAATAACATTAGGAAATTGTGTATCTCATTTGATTTTTGATATAATCCAGGATTGCATTGGGGTCACTCAACTGGGTCGTAGGGCCCTTGGGCCAAACCAACATATTAGATAATTTAACACAATGTATTTAACTCATCATTCTCTCTAGTTTTCTGGTGCGGGACTGTTGCAATTTTATTTCCTTATATTTAGTTTATGTGCATAGGTTAACTTCTCTGTATAGTTACTTTCCTTTTGTAGGTGTCAAACTCCTGTTTTATATATAGGGTTTGTAATTCTTATTTTTCAATCAATTAGATATATTTTCTCCACAGTTAGTAGTTAGTTAATTAGTTACCAGGGAAGACTCCAGCAAAGCCATCAGCCTTCTCAATGAGCTCATCAATAGGGATTGAAGCAATGGAAGCATCATTACTCTGGCCAAGAAGCGAGGAAGAGGGATACATGTTGGTTCCCATGCCAAGCCTTCGGCCTGTTTCTTTCCCAATGGCAAGCTGATCACCGGTGATCATCTTCACATTAACACCGAGTTCAAGAGCCCGCTTGATTGTCTCAGCACTGTCATGTCTTGGAGGATCAAAAAGAGGTAACAAACCAACAAACTCCCATGCTGATCCCCCACTCTCCTTGTTCTTCTCAGGCACAGTCTACAATTATTTTTTACACACATATATAATCACATTTAGTTTATCAGTATGGGATTTTAACATTTAACCAGTGACTTTTTAATCTTTTATCACTCACCTGTCTTGCTACGGCTAATGAACGAAGGCCACGGTTGGCAAAATTGTCAATGACTCCATGAGCCCTCTTCAGATCATCTCCTTTAAGGCCACAGAGTTCAATTATCTAGGGAAAACATTAGGAAGGTGATGAGGCACTATGAATTTCTTCATTTATTTTATAAACCTGACTTATTTAAATAGATGGCAGATGTATAATTATAACAATAACAACAATCATAATAATACCTGCTCAGGAGCACCCTTGCTAGCCCTGTGCCAGTTCCCATCACTATCAATATATGTAATTGCAGTACGCTTATCGACTGGATTGAAAGGCAGAAAATGCACTTCTTGAATGCCTGCTCTTGCCTATAAACAAAAATCACAAGAAATAGAAAAATAGCATTTCAGTAGTTCAAAATGCATGAAAGGAAAACAAGGAAAATAAAGCATATATGTACAATATACCTCCTTGGGATCACTCAGCATGTTGACGATGCAAGCATCGATAGCATCCTGGTTCTCAACCCGGGATGCCCTAGCGGCATTCAACAATACATCCTCCTTATCGGCATCCTTAATGAAGACATCAATCAAGCTTTTATCCACTGTGAGCTTGTTAAGGGTGAGTGTACCAGTCTTATCACTGCAGAGCACATCCATACCAGCCATTTCTTCAATGGCAGTCATCCTCTTAGTGATGGCACCTTGCTGTGATAGCCTGTGAGATCCAATGGCCATAGTCACAGACAGCACTGTGGGCATGGCAATCGGGATCCCTCCAATGAGCAACACAAGTAGATTGTCGATACCCTGCCTATAATTCCTTTGCTGTACCGGGAACATCACAATAATCTCAATCAATACTCCCACCCCAATTGAGCAGATGCAGAAATTCCCAATAGCAGTCAACACCTGCAAGTAAAAATTATGCCATTTAGACTTATCAACCCCACCATTTCCACAGACAATGGACATTTGCACAATTGAGAGCCATATATGAAAATATGAACACTAAAAGCAAGTATCACATACACTCAAATGAAAAATATTTAGTTGGAACTCTGACCATTTAGAGTTAACAATAATTAGTTAAAGCATGATATATAAATTTGTGGAAATAATGTACGTAGTACAAAATAACAATGCAACAGTTTAAGAATAATTACTATTACAGACATAGGATATTTAATTTCGCTCAAACATGATTATTACTATACTAAACTCAATCTAAATCCAAATGTGAAGAACAATAGTACTTTATCATGAATTATACAAATCAATTTGAATTATGTTATTACCTTTTGGAAGTGACCGACGTTGTTGGTGGAATCAACAAGATGAGCAGCCTTTCCGAAGAAGGTGTGGACGCCTGTGGCAATAACGACGGCCTCCAGTTCTCCCTGCTTAACAGTGGAGCCTGAGAAGGCGACATCG